GGACTTCGTGACTCACTTCTGAAGAGCAGAATATGGCGCAAGTGAGGGTGGTGACCTCTAAGACTAGGTCAGGAAAAGCACTGCGGCTTCCTCCTTCCTCTCTCTCTGGGTTCATTCAATCTGGGGGAAGCCAACCGCCATGCCGTGAGGACCCTCAAGCGGCCCTGTGGAGAAGCCCACCTGGGGAAGAGCTGAGGCCTCCCACCAGCAGCCACAGGAGCGGGTCTTACACGTGGATCCTCCAGCCTCAAATGAGCCGTCAGATGCTGGCACCGTGACCACACTTCGTGGTGGACCCAGAGCCAGGATCGCCCAAATAAGCTGCTCCCAGAGTTTTGATCCTCAGGAATTACGTGAGATAAGGATATTATTGGGCTTCTTCAGTTGAGTTTCTTTTTTTCAGCCCATTTTCTCAGCCCTTTCTTGGCTGACAACCCAATCTAAAGTAGCCACTCAATGACTTTATAGTATATAAGCCCTTTGTATTTTTTATAACACTACTTAATTACTACTTAATTTTAAATTACTGCTTAATTTTCTTATTTATTCATTGTTTAACTAGCACCATTATAATTTAAGCTCAAGGAGAGCCAGCATAGTTTCTGTCTTACTTAGACATATGTCTTTTTTGCCCAGAGTAGTGCATGGCACATAGTAGGTGCTCATTAAATGTTTGTTGAATGAATAAAGTGAATGATATACATATATATCCTTTCATGGAAGGACCTATGTTAATCTTTGGATCTCTACAATTCTGAACATAGTACCTTGAGCATGAGCAGAGCTCAATTAACATTACAGACTGAATTAATATACTTTAGAAGACACTAAAGAACTGAAAAATGAACAGTGGTAATCTCAGAATCCCTCATAAAATGTGTGTGATCTTATTGTTTTATGCCCCTAAATTTGACCTCATTTATTACTCAGTAATAGATAATAATTATTATTACAAATAGTTTTTTCTTTTTTGCCTAATTGTTTGACAGTAAGGTACAAACGTCATGACCCTTTAGCTCTAAATACTTTAGTAAGGTTCTTTGAAGAAGAATGACACCTTAGTTTTTTTTCTTTTTGGTGGGGGGAGGTAATTAGGTTTACCTTGTTTGTTTATTTGTTTATGGTGGAGGCACTGGGGATTGAACACAGGACCTTGTGCATGCTAGGCATAGGCTCTACCACTGAGCTATACCCTCCTCTCTCCAAGAACTTTATTTCACCTTGTTAGGAATTATCACACCCCTGAATTTGAATATTGATTAAATTGTTTCCAATATACAGTTCATACATTTCTCCAATTGTCCCCAAAATATCCCAGTGGCTCCCCACCTCATTCAGAGTAAAAGCCAAAGTCCTTCCGAAGGCCCTGAGGACCCCCATCATCAGGCCTCCCACCCCACCCATACCTCTCTGACCTCATCTCCTCCCCTCCCCCTTGCTTACCCCTGTCCAGTCTCACCAGCCTCCTCCACGTTCCTTGGTTTCTCAAGGCCTGCTCCCACCTTTTGCCCTGACTATTCCCTGGGTGCAGAATTTGTTCCCACCTCCTTAGAGTCTTGGCTCAGATGGCTCAGATGTCCCCTGCTCAGTGGTGTCTACCATGAATATCCATCCTAAAACTGCACCCCCACCCCTGGCACTCCTGCTCTCTTGCCCTGTGGTTTTTCTCCGTCAGCATGTTGTCTTCTAACGTATCGCCTTATTCACTTGTTGACTTTGTGTAACATCTATCTCCCCTATTGAAATGTGAGCCCCAGGAGGGCAGGGGTTTCCACCCGTGGTCACGTCAGTATCCCCACTGCCTAGAACGCCACCTGGTACCAACATCAGGGGAGCTGGTCCATCCATCAGTGGATGTTTGTGGGATGGATGAATGAGAGAAATGCCACCCATGGGTACTGGCAAAGGGGACATGGGGTGGGGTAATGATAATGACCTGCACACCTGCTGGAGAAGCCGGCCACATCTGGGGGAGACCCAGACAAAATGAGAGTAAGCCTTGCTAGCCAGGGTGACTGTGTGGTGAATTTCTTACCCCTGCCACCAGAATTACCTGTTGTGTCCTGGGTCACATGCTGTATCTTAGAACATCCCTCTTATCTCAGAACATTTTAATACTCTCTTTTAAGAAACAGCTAATAATACTAATATTTGCTGCCATGTCCTATTGAAGGCTTACCGTGTATCGGTCCTGGTGCCAAATACACTAAACCTGGTGTCCCATTTAATCCTCAGCAATCCTGCAAGGCATGTATTACCATAAATCTCATTTTCTAGACAAAGATGGTTCAGAGGTTTCACTGACTTTTAAAATTAATATTTAACTTATTGAAATTGCAATTCAAAACCCTGGTTCTTCCCTAGGCTTCAACTTACAAATCATATTCTATTTGTGCTCAACATATTTTCATGATTGCTTTTAAAAGGATTTTGAATATTTGATTCCAGTTACAAAGTTAGACTCCCTTCAACATTTTAAATCGCATTTAAACATTTTATTGTATTCAGTTTTCTTTTATGTACCTAAATGGCCTGACTTAACAAACAGAACCTTTCCAAGTATTTAAATATAAATTATTCTTCCAATAAATTAAACCTATAAATATGGTGAACTTTGAGGTCTCTTAAATGTTCCAATACAATATATGTGAGTTTAAGGAGTTTTCAGTTTAAAATTATAAATTTGAATCCATTACATTCCTACCGATTTTCAGTTGGAATTTCAGGATTTTTACTCTAAATAGGATGAATCCTATTAAGCTATAAATACGTAAATACCAAATGTGTACAGATACTTTTAAATAAAAACATTAATACCATGATTTGGATTCCCGTAAATTTCTATACTTAAATCTTTAAATTTGCTTGCTCACCAAGGAAGCTACAATTTTCATATCACTCTGTTTGTGGGGCTGCCTTCTTAACTCTTCTGAGATTACAGAACATTTTTCTCTTCCCTGCCATTGCTGTGTCAATGACCCCATGCTTCAGAGGAGGTACCACATGGCCTAGGATACCTAGATTTTTTTTTTTAACGCATTATTTTTTATTCTTATTTTTTATTGAAGTGTAGTCAATTTAAAATGTTAGTTTCAGGTGTACAGCAAAGCGATTCAGTTATACATATACATTTTTTCAGTTTCTTTTCCATTACAGCTCATTGCAAGAAATTGTGTATAGTTCCCTGTGCTATACAGTAGGTCCTTGTTGTTTATTTATTTTATATATAATAGTATGTTAATTCCAAACTCCTAATCCCTCCCCTCCTTTCTGCTGGTAACCACAGTTTATTTTCTATGTCTGTGAATCTATTTCTGGTTTGTAAGTAAAATTTGTATTTTTTTTATTTAGATTCCACATATAAGTGACATTATATGATATTTGTCTTTCTCTGTTTAACTTACTCCACTTAATATGATAATCTCTAGGTCCATCCATGTTGCTGCAAATGGCATTATTTCATTCTTTTTATGGCTGAGTAATATTCTGTTGTATATCTATACCACATCTTCTTTATGCAGTCATCTGTTGATGGACATTTAGGCTGTTTCCATGTCTTGGCTGTTGTAAACAGTGCTGCTGTGGACACTGGAGTGTGTATGTCGGACTCCTAGATTTAAGTGATGTCACACCCCGACCAGGAAACTCTACCACGTAATTTAATTCTGTATCTTTGGCTTTTAAGACTAGTCAAGCCATTTCTATCTAAAGCTAAAGAGCTTTGAACCAGATGGAATCCTACACTCTTTCATATTCTGTTGTCTCTTTGGACCATGCAAATCTTACAGACATTGAACTCGTGTCTGATTGAATCACGGCTTAGGAATCAGCTATTTTCCATCTCAAGGTGGAACTTCAGGCACAAGCGAGGGCTCGTCAGTTCTTTCCCAGGTCTGTTTCGTCACACCCTGTACTTCCATACCTGCGAGGTCACTGGCTCTCGGGACAGGGAACAGGGAGACTTCCTCCAGGGCCCTGTGTTGGATTTTCTCCTGCTGTAAAGGTTAAAGTTCACAGAAGGGACCAGAAGACACAGAGGCAGCAGAAGTACAGCTAGACGTGCTTCTCCAGAGGAAGCACAGAGGTGCCTGAGTCCTTTATTCATCTTCTTTTAAATTACAATAAGCCTGATTAGGCTGATAAGGCAGATGGCATTGTCTCCATGCCTCACTCATTCATTTATTCAACAAACATGTATCGCCCATATTATGGGCAAGGTCATTGTCTTCAAGGAGCTCACAGTCTACAAAGAGGGCTACCAGCCAGAGCTCAGGGCTGAAGGAGGGACATTGATAAAGTGCATTGGGGCTCAGGGGAGGGAGAGTGTCCCTCTGGTGGACAGCCATCAGGAAAGGCTTATGGGACATGTGATGTTCATCTGTGTTTACTGGGTGCCTACTGTATGCCGGGCACAACTGGGAGAGAGGTCTCAGGGATGAGTAAGAAAAAATTAAACAAGGTCATTTCCGGTTGTGGGAGCTAACTTTATTGGGTGCTTTCAACGTGCCAACTCTCTTCTAAGTGCTTTACACAGACTGACTTGTTTAATCCTCTCAGCCCTTCTGTGAGGCAGGAAACCATTAATAGCCCCACTCTGTAGGTGAGGAGGCTGTTGCATTTGTCTGTGGCTTCACAGAAATCTACCCCCAAATGTAGTGGCTTAACAGAGCCATCATTTTCTTTGGTCACAAGCCAGTGAGTCAGGAACTCAGGCAGGGCTCAGCAGGGACAGCTCGCTCCTCTCTGCTCCACAGTTAGCCAGGCTTGCGGCTGCGGCTGGAGGATCCAGACGGCCTTGTCCCATGACTGGGGCCCTCCAGTTGTCCTTCACGTGACTCCTCTTAACGGGACGGCTGGGACTTCTTTACGTAGCAGCCCACTTCCCAGGGTGCAAACACATCACATCACATCTAGCACGTTCAATTGGCTCACAAGTGTCACAGAGCCAGCCCAGGTTCAAGTGGAAGGGAAACTGACATGGGATGAGTGGCATAGTCACTTTGCAGAGGGCGTGCAGGGTGGAAGCAATCGCTGTGGCTGTCTTTGGAAACAATCTCGTGCAGACACGGGGTATAAATAACTTGCTCACAGTCCTACAGCTAATAAGTAGGCTGTGGGCGGCCAGCGGGGTAAAGGCCAGACGTGCAGAAATGTAGAGGCCATTTCAGATAAAATGATGCATGTAAATGAAAGCCCAGAGACAGGAAAAGCTGGAGAGTCATGGCTCCCTTTGCTGGAAGAAGTAGGTAAACAAGGATGAAGCAAAAAAAAGGTAGGCTGGGGCCAGACCGTGGCTGACCTTGAACACCAGGCTGAACTGTTTGGACCTTGATTCTGTAGGCAGTGGGCAGCTGTGGGAAGGTCTGGAGCCAGACGGTGACTTGATCAGGACTGCTTCAGGGAGATTAAGCCAGCCCTGTGGGTGCGGGGTAAGTGGGGGCAGCCCAGGGAGCAGGGAGCCTCCCGCAGGAGTGATGGAGTCCTGACCTGGAGGGCACATGTCGGGGTGGAGGGATGGGTCTGAAGGCAGAAGACCCCACAGGGGTGCTTTTGACACAACCTGGCAACTTGTCATTTTTCAGACGAGAAAACTTGCTCTGAGAGGTTGACGCTCCAGGATCTCCAGCAAAGCAAATGGCAGAGGCAGAAGGTAAGAGGTCTGGGGGCCAAAGGATAAGAGGAGGGTGGGGCCGGGGAACCCAGGTCTTTGGACCCCTAGTCCATTCCGGCACAATGGGAGTGTTCGTGGTGGGGACCAGAAAAGCTGGGGCTCCGGTAACTTCTTTGTGGGGTGCATTGATGTCAGCAACTTGCAGATGTCAGTCTCATGAATTGCCCAATGAGGAGATGACTTGAGCCAATAGGAAGAGCCCGCCATGGTTGGGTACCTGCACTCTTCCCGCTGCTGCCAGGAGCCCACATCCCGGGGAGTGAGACCTGGTCCACTACGGGGAGATGGGGGCTGGGGTTGGATGGAGAAACAGAGGCTTGAACTGTGTCATCTCCACCCACTCTGAGTTGCTTTGAGGGTCTTTGTAAGTAACAACTTTTTTAAAAAGCAGCAAGGGAGAGAGAAGAGGGGACGTGATATGTGGTTCTTTCAAAGCTCTTAGTTTGAAAAGACACTGAGGTTTTTTTTTCAAAGAGCCTGGTTGATCTCATTCTTAGCATCTCTGGCTGAAAGGGGGCTCCCCACCCCCGCTGTACTCGTTTCTCCCTGGGATTTGGACCTCTTCTTCTGACACACTTCATGCGGGGAGAGCTCATTTTGGCTTCCTCAAAAATTGGACGCTAAATTTAGAACTGGCCTCAAAACTTCTGATCTTTGAGCTCAACTTGTCTGGCTTGGCCCAGCCTGCAACAGTCACCTCTTATCACCATTAATGTTGTTCCTATTTGGTTCTCCTGTTGTCTTAGAAACACGAATTGGTATGATGGGTCACAGCCAAGAAACATAAGCCAGAGCCCACCAGTCTCCCCAGGAAGGACCCTGTCTCTGCTCTGTTCTTGTAAATAATGTTCTCTCGGAGCAGAACATGTTTCCCCCTCATTTTCTGGGAGCTGGGCCCCTTGGGCCCATTCCAGATTCCTCTGGTCTCCCTTCCATCTGCTGCAAGTTCCATCCCTGCCTTCCCGTCCCTGGAATCACCAGAAACCAGGCCTTCGTTTGTGCCTGGGCCCAGCTGCTTGCCACCTGGACTCAGGCCTATTAACCCCTGACCCTCATCCTTCCCTTTACCTCCTTCCACAAAGCCACAGTTGGAGAAGGAGCCCTAAGCTGAGAGCCTTCCCTGTCCCCACCGAATGGTGCTTCACACACCCAGTTCTGACCACAGACATGTCATCTCCCTCAGAGCCCAGCAGCTGGTTCTGAGTTCTGGGCGCTGCCCCTCACTTCTGTGTGTCCTTGGGCAAGTCACTTGACTTCCTAGCTGAGTCTGTTCTCCTACCTGTAAAATGAGGAGTGGAAGGAATGGGCCTCTAACCTTAGGGTGCACCCTGCTTTAAAACATTTCATGCATCTCTGTTTTACTGATCAGTAAAAACCAGAGAAGAGGTCCTTTTAGCATGAAAGAGAGGAGAGTCACATGATGTCACCATGATATCCCTGCAGAGCAACAGTCTGGAAAGCACTAGAGGGTTCCAGCATCCCTCACTGGCGTCCAGAGACGTAACCCCCCAGAACTCCACTCGGAATGGTTCTGCGGGAGGCCACGGCCATCTGGATCTCATCTGTGATAGTTCTGAAGGTCTACAGCATCCTCAAGATAAAAGCTAAACTCTTTGGAACAGTGTTTCCCAAATTGCTTTCCATGGAACACTGGGATCCCGCGTGTGCTTGGGCTTTGCCAGTAAGTTTGGGGAAAGCTGGGTTTCTTTATGACTAGATTTCTCAGAGCCCCAACTCCAGGCGTTCTGCTTATGCTTCAGAACAGCCTTTGGTTTTGCCCTTTTGCTGTTTCTGTTTTACAGATGAGAGTTGAGGTTCAGAGAGGCTAAGTGATTTGCCCAGAGCCCTGCAGCCTGGACGACTGGGGTCTGAGCCTAGACTGTGTTCCTAACACGAGGCTGTATTTTCATCCCAGGTTATTGGCCCCGAGAACCTGCCTTGTCCCAGCTGAAACACCTCAAGGAAAATAGAGCAAAGGGGAGCTTTCTGGAGAAGGAAAGGGGGCAGTAAGTGGGCATGTTATGAGTAGAGGGAAGCCTCAGGTATAGGGGCACGTAGCTGTTTCCTGGGGACAACTCATTCGTGGGGGATGTGGACTCAGAGACGTCTCTGCTGCGCCTCGCAGCTGTCCCGACCTCTGGAGCAAGTCAGGTGAAGAAGTGCCATCCCTTTTATAAGAAAGGTTCACAAAGACTCGTGGAGATCCAGAGATGCCTGTTCCAGAAGAATCCATCATTGCCCGCGGATTAGTACCACACAACTCCCCTGGCCAACGCAGCTGATTTCACGGGGACACAGTGGCCCCCAGGTGGCCAGGGTTCTGAGAGACTGAATTAGTACTAGTCACTCGCTCATGCTCTCCTTCCTGTAAGCACATGCTGTGCACGGCAGACGGTGTGGCGAACAAGTTCAATGTCCCTGTTCCCCAGGAGGGACAGACCTTACACATGAGTGAAGTTCACGAGCGGTGCAGTTACCACCAAAGTGAGTTCTCTGAACGGAAGGGGCGTGGTTCTGTGACAGTATGTACAGCCAGAGCGTGGCCTAGCTCAGGGAGGCTTTGTGTGGCCGAGGAGGCCATGACCCACGTGTCCCTTCAAGATGCCCTTTTCCAAAGAATGTAGTTGACTGACAGCCCTCAGTGCCACGCTTCCGGATCAGCCTCAGTGTTCACTTCCTCCCCAGGCAACTCCTCGCCAATGACAGCACAGCTGGCCACCTCTGCCCACCCAGGACCACTCTCACAGGCCGGCTGAGACTTGAGTGTCCTGCGATCTGAAGCTCTCCCTTCCCTCCCTCCTTTCACAGGTGTCAGACCTGACATCTCTCCCCACCACGTACAACTGCTCCATCACTCCCCTTCATATCATTTTGACATCTGCTTTGGGTTTTAAAAAAAACAACGTAATTCAATTGAGTAAATTTGAAAGCTTTTATTGGCTCTATTGAATGATTCATGAACCAGGAGCATCCAGTCTAACAGAAAGGAGCTCCAAGGAGCTGTACAAAGTAAAAGGCTTTCGTAGGCAGAAAGGAGCAGGATCAGGGAAGTTACACTTGGCCAAACAGCGGGTTGGTTGCAAAGTTACTTTCTTCTAGAGGATGGGGGTGGGGAGCGGTGGTCGACCAGGCAGGTTACCTAACTAATGCTGATCCCGTGATTCCTGCCTGGCTGGTTTAAGATTTCTTTTCTAGGAGAGCCTAGACTATAATTAGTCTCAGTTTGGGGATATGGGGTGTCAGCAACTCCATTTGGGGGCCTGTCATCTTGTGTTTAACACAAAGAAAATTAGAAATTAGCTGTTTTGAGCTGAATGATCAATGAAAATATAATCTCTCAAAGCTTGTAGTATACAGCTAAAGAGTGCTTAAAGGAAAACGTTTAGCTTATTAGCAAAGAAAAAAGATAAAATCAGTGATCTAAGCTGCCACTTCAAAAAGCTAGACCAAGAAGAGCAAAGTAAACCCAAAGTTAGGAGAAGGAAGGAAACAAACAGAAAATTAACAAAGCCGAAAGTTGGTTCATTGAAAATATAAACAAAATTGGTAAATTCCTAGCAGGATGGATCAAGGAGAGAGAAACAGAAGGAAAATAAATTATGAATATAAGGGATAAAAGAGAAGCTATGACCACAGAGCCTACAGACACTGAAAAAGAATAATAAACCAATTAAAAGAATAATTAGAAATTATTATGAACAACTTTACGCCAATCAATTTGACAACACAGATGAAATGGACAAATTGCTTGACAAATTACAGCTTACTGAAATTGACACAAATGAAATTGGAAGTCCAAAGAGTTTTATCTGCTAAAGAATTTGAATTCATGATCCAAACCCTTCCCACCAAGGAAACTTCAAGCCCAGAGAGTTTCACTGGTGAATTCTATCAAACATTTAAGGAAGAAATAACACCAAACTTACACAAATTTTCAGAAAACAGCAGGAGGGAATACATCCCAATTCATTTTATGAGGCCAGCAGCACCCTGATACCAAAACAACAAAGACGTCTTAAGTGGCTTGAATCCAGATCTCAGTACCGTTATTAAGCAGATGTATTTCTTACTATGCTGCATATTCCAGACAGGTCATCAGGAAGACCTCACTTGTCACAGACACTCAGGGACAAGGCTGATGAAACTTCCATCTTAACAGAGGCTTCCACTATGATTAAGGCAGAGGAAGAAGACATAGCGAATTGCCTACTGATTCTTAAAGCTTCTGCCCTGAAGTGACATGTGTCACATATGTGCATGTTCATGACTGTGTCCCACAGGGATGGGGGTGTCCTAACACATTCTTGGAAGGAGAGGAGAATGGATAGTGATTATCTCAGGAGTTTTATATATATATATATATAGAGAGAGAGAGAGAGAGAGTAACAAAAGAGCCTAAATAAGTAATATGAGTGACCTGCCCAGTGAGAGAGTGCAGAGTGGACAAGGGGACCTTGGGGCTTGGTTTTAAGAAATGCTACCACCCTGAGAGAGGGGATGAGCCTGTGAAGGAGGCATCTCAATGGAGCAACCGGAGAGAGAGGGGAAAACCAGGCGAGTTCGTGAAGGGACCGGCCAGCGGTGTCTAATGGGATTGAGGGGTCAAGGAAGAGGAGGATGTGGACAACCAGGATGTCACTGGTACCAGGACAAGATTGTGTCTGTGGAGTGATGGTGGTGGAAGCCAGAAGGAAATGAGTAAGAACTGAGTGTGAGATGAAGGGAAACAGAATATGGACAGCCTCTTAAGAAGCTGGTTGTGAAGGGAAGGAACTGGAAGAGGACATGTGTTAAGAGAAGGTTTGTTTGTTATTTCAGCGGGAGAGACTAGCGGATGTTTGAATGTTGATGGGGACGGACTAGTTTGGAGGCAGTGGTTAAATACATAAGAGAAGGGAGAGTAGAAGGGTCCTGGAAGGCGGGACTTGAAAGTCGGCAGAGAAGGATGCCCTGAGGTGGGACTGGGGGGCTGTGGCTGA